AGGAAAAGGTCCATGCTTCATGGAAGGCATTGGCTAAGAACAAGGCCAGACAGCATGTTTTTAATGTTCCAACAAGATGAAGAAGCAATGGTAACACTCACTCCTCTATGCCAAGAAATTTAGAAGACAGCTACCTGGGCAACTGACTGGGAGAGATCTGAATGTTCACCCCTCTAAAGAAATGTGACCCAGCAGAATGGGTCAACTCTGTCAATAGCACAACGTGGAACAAGCTGGTGCCTGATAGATTGTTTTCCGAAAGCAAAGAAAACCAGAACGCTGTGTGCAAATGTTTTATTGACGATGGAAAGACATTTGACTCTGTGCACCTTGAAACACCATGGGTCGTTTGAGAAGAATGGGGATTTGAGGACACTGCACTATGCTTATGCAGAACTGAACATGGATCCAGAAAAGTTATGTGAAGAACATGAGGAAATGCTGCATGGTCTAAAATCAAGAAAGGTGTGCTGGCCAAGTAATGAGAGAAGCTGTGCTATATGAAGAAGCATTAAGCATCAGGATTGGAAAAAGGCACATTTACAAATATCTGGCTTACAAATGACACAACACTGCTTGCTGAAAGTGAGGAAGACTTGGACTCACTGTCTCACACTCTTGCTCACTCACTCACTCTCAAAAAAAAAAAGGAAAAAAAGTGAGGAAGACTTGGATTCTTCGGTGATGAATATTAAGGATTGCAGCCTTCAGTATGGATAGCAACTCAATGGAGTTAAAATAGAAATCCTCATACTGGAACAATAGGTAACACTGTGATAACTAGAGAAAAGATTGAAGTTACCAGAGATTTCATCTTGCTTGGATTCCTAATCCATGCACATGGAACCAGCAGTCATGTAATCTAACATTGCATTGCTTTGGGTAAATCTGCTGCATTAGTTTGAAGTTTTGCAGAGCAAGGATGTTGCTTTAAGGTCCCAGTTGTACCTAACCTATGCCAGGATAATTTCATTTGCCTCATATGCATGCAAGCTGGACATTGAACAAGGAGGACCCCCAAAACAATAGAATAGATCCATTTGAATAGGGTGCTGGCGGAGAGCATTTAAAGTACGATGATTGCCAAATGAACAAACAAATCTGTCCTGGAAGGAGTATGGCATGAATGCTTCTGAGAGGCGAGAATGGTGAAACTTGGGCTATGTTGTCAAGAGAGACCTGTCCCTGGAAAAGAGCATCATGCTTGGTAAAGTCGAAGGGTGGCAAAAAAGAAGGCCCTCCACAAGATGGACTTCCTTAGGGCAGTGGTTCTCAACCTGTGGGTTGTGACGCCTTTGGGGGCTCTGAGAGTTAAGGTTTATTGTGCCAACCTGATCGATAAACACATGTGGGATTAATTGAAGGGCAAAGATAACTGCCTGGGTGAGCCTCGCCATTCTTGTTCTCTGGTCTCTTGCTCTCTGATGGTCGGACCACTGTGTGGCTGCCGTAGCTAGTTCTCTGCCTCCGCTGGCAAGGCTCACTTCCTGCAAGACATCCCTGAGGAGAAGCCACATGGACACACCCTGGGTGCTGGAGAAGCTGCGTGGAGACCACTGTCAGCGCTGAGATTCTTACATGCTCATTGGATCAGCTTTCTTCCTGCATTCAACATCATTGCGTGTGTTTTGTGAGATTGAGGAGTACTTTGTAGATCAGTGTCGGACATATGAGCTAATGTTGGACTTATGGGCTTAGATTGGATGGGGTTGGGATGCTTCCTGAATGTACACTTACCCTTTATATAAAACTCTCTCTTATACATATATGAGTTTCTGTGGATTTGGCTTCCTAGTTTATCAGACTAATACAGGGACGAATGACCCTTTCACAGGGGTCACCTAAGATTATAGGAAAACACATATTTCGATGGTTTTAAGAACTGAGACACTGCTCCTTTTTCAGTCTCCAGGCAGGTCTGCCCACATGTAGATATGCCCACACATCAGTACCCCAGATGAAGACTGGGTAACCCATGCTGCACCATGTTTCAAGACTAACTTTCATTTATTTGTAATTAGAAATAAGTATTTCACAATGTTTAATTACATATTGTTTTTGTGATTAATCACTATGCTTTAATTATGTTCAATTTGTAACAATGAAAATACGTCCTTTATCAAAGCCCTCATGGAAGAAGCACACCAGTCTGTGTGACCATGAGGAGTCAAAGGGATCAGGTATCAAGCATCAAAGAACAAAAAATCATATCATTGTGTGCCCACCTTCCTGATATGATTGCTGAAAACAAATGTGTGCATAAGCAAATGTGGTGAAGAAAGCTGATGGTGCCTGGCTATCCAAAGATATAGCGTCTGGGACCTTAAAGGCTTGAAGGTAAACAAGCAGCCATCTAGCTCAGAAGCAACAAAGGCCACATGGAAGAAGCATACCAGCCTGTGTGACCACGAGGTGTCGAAGGGATCAGTTGTAAATGAGGGGGGAGTGAAGATTGGAGACCCAACAGCCATCTGTAGGCAACTGGATATCTCCTAATAGAAGGGTGGCGGGGAGGAGATGAGCCAGTCAGGGTGAAGTGTAGCAACAATGAAACATACAACTTTCCTCTAATTCTTAAAAGATTCCTCCCACTCCCCACTATCATGATTCTGATTCTACCTTACAAAACCCGAGTAGGCCAGAGGATGTACACTGGTACAGATAGGAGCCAGAAACACATGGAATCCAGGACAGATGATCCCTTCAGAACCAGTGGTGAGAGTGGTGATACTGGAGGGTGGAGGGAAGGTGGGGTAGAAAGGGGGAATCAGTTATAAGGATCTACATATAACCTCCTCCCTGGGGGACGGACAACAGAAAAGTGGGTGAAGGGAAGGAGACGTCAGACAGGGTAAGAGATGACAAAATAATAATAATTTATAAATTATCAAGGGTTCATGAGGGAGTGGGGAACAGGGAGGGAGGGGAAAAGAGAAGCTGATATCAAGGGCTTACATGGAGAGCAAATGTTTTGAGAATGATGAGGGCAACGAATGTACAAATGTGCTTGACACAATTGATGTGTGTATGGATTGGGGTAAGTGTTGTATGAGCCCCCAATACAATGCTTAACAACAAAAAGAGATGAGACTATCAAAAGTAAAAAACAGAAAATGTTCTAAAATTGATTGTGGTAATGACTGTACTAGTCTTCTGGATGTGATTGGAGACTGAATTGTATGATATGAGGAATATGCCCCAAGAAAACTGTTTTTTAATGGGGAAAAAAAGAAAATACATCCTATATATATATCAAATATTTACATTACGACTCATAATAGTAGCAAAATTATAGTTACGAAGTAGCAGTGAAAATAATTTTATGGTTGGGGGTCACCACAACATGAGGAACTGCATTAAAGGGTGACATCACAACCTGTCCAAAGCATGTAAGGAAAAGTCTCATCATTCTTGCCTTTAAGGAGCACCATAGCCATCCTTTGTCCAAGACGGAACCATTTGTCCTTTGAGAAGCCCATGGGACTTTGAATATTCTTCTCTAGCACCACCGTTCACATGCACCAATTTTCTTCAGTGTGCCCTAGTTAACGTCCAACTTTCACATGCATATCGAATGACTGAAAATGCTACGTCTTCGATTATGTGCACCTTAGTCCTCAAAGTAACACCCTTGCTCTCAGTACTCTAAAGAGGTCTTGTGCAGCAGATTTAGCTAATGCAACATGCCACTTGACCTTTTGATTCTTGACTATTGATTTTAGATGCAAGACAAAATCATTGACAGTTTCAACATTTTCTCCATTTATTATGACGTTACCTATGGGTCCCATTGGGAGGATTTGGGTTTTCTTTACATTGAATTGACTTGGAACCATTTAAGGGAAATCATAATTTAAAAAGAGAGCTGCTTCCCTTTACAACCAAAAACCTTTGGAGATCATGAATATATGTGGTGAGATATTGCCTTCAAAGATATTCAACAACACCTAACACATAAGTATTAATGAAAAATTGGTTACAGACAATATGTTGGTGATACGTTTAGTTAGCTTCAAAAAATTCCATCATATTTCAATTCCATTTTCCCACAAACTTTTTGAAAGCCCATTTTTCTATATGAGATAACTTAAAATGTTGGTTCTGGGGCTCTAATCCCACATGCTTGTCATTATTTTAAACAAGCCACGCTTAATATGTTTGCTGTCAGTGAATAGCTGCAGACAAGTTCTTTCAGGAACACATTTGTCTCGGTCTTGTCCGAGTGCCTTGAAAAGAAGGGACATTCAAACAGGGGACTCCTTAGTCAGTCACAGTCACCACAGAGCGGTCAGCCCAGAAGAATTGCTCAGCCTCTTAGGGGAGCGCTGGAGGGTTCATCTTGACAGATTTTCTCAAAGAATACAGAGGGTCATAGGAACATGTTATGCAGAAGTTCCAAAACAATTTGAAACTGCATTCATGAGAAAAAGGCTATACAAGTTGCTGTGAGTAATTTTTCTGTTATAGCAAGGCACCTGCTCATCTTTCCAGGGTAGCAAGTGCTGTCCAATGATAATTTTGTTAGGAAAATTTATTGTCTCTCCCTTAAAATCCTAATATTGCCTCTTCAGCCTTCTTTTTGTTCCTATAGCTCAGGGAACATCGAAAAGAAACAAAATTGGAATCTCTTGAGATTACCAATACTGCTGTTTTGACATGATGTAAATTAAAGAAAAATTAGAGTGATGGAAACACCATTCAAAAATGGACATACCTAGATTGAGAAACAAAAACTTCACATGTTGCTATTTTTGTTTAAAAAATGGTTTTCCATGATTTGTAACAATACCTGTTGATACTTTGTGGGTATATCTATATTTTTGACATGAATTTTAAAGAGTATTCTAATTATGAACAATATAGTGTGCAAAATCCAAATTAATATTCACAACTCATAATTCATATCTATATTATTCAAATATGTGTATTATTCACAACTTTTCTTAGGACAATGGTAAATGTCAGTTATTACTCTCCTTTGTCTGCTGTCTTTCCTTCAGTTCCTCCAGTAATTCGGGTCTACCCGGAGAGCCAAGCCAGAGAACCTGGAGTGACGGCAAGTCTTCGGTGCCATGCCGAGGGAATACCGAATCCACAGCTGAGCTGGCTGAAGAATGGAATCGATATTACCCCAAAGCTGTCCAAGCAACTCACACTTCAAGGTGCCTGTCTTGCTCTTGTTTTTTTTAAATGACTTTGTAACATGTTTTTACTAAAATGTATAATATATTTTTACATTATTTTATAAAAAGATAAAATGAGTCTTAGTGGTATAAAACGTTTTAAATATATGGTAGTACCTGAGACAGTGCATTTTAAATCAATTCCTTTCATATTCTTTAAGATTGAAAAATAGTCTTGTCATGATGAATAATTATGTCATAATTTTGGTAATAAATAAAATATTAAATTATGTAACTGTAAAATACTAGTCGATGAATTATCACATTTTAAGGCAACAGGATAATTGGCTCTCCTCATGAAAGTATATATCTGAATATTTAAATAATTAATGTTTGAATGATATATTAAAATATTTACTATGCAGGATTCTAATAGTATAACAATTTGTGAATAATTTTCAGTTTACTCAAGAGAGGATAGGATTTTCACATCATTTAAGATGTTTCAGATTTACATTCTCTTTTTAAGTTATAATATTATGCATTGTATAATACAATATTTTTGCTCCTTTAAGCCCAGAAAGGCCAAATAGAACCCCCCAAAAAACAAGAAAACACTGCCATTGAGTCAATTCTGACTCATAGCTCCCCTATATAGGGTTTGGGGGACTGTAAATCTCTATAGAATGAGGCAGCGTTATCGCTCTCCCACAGTGTGGTTCGTGGGTTTGAATTTCAGACCTTGTGCTTAGCAGTCTAACTACCTAGCCTTCAGTGCCACCAGACTTCCTTAAATGGTCTACGCATTCTAATATTCTAAAGGGTGGTCAACATTCATCACTATGCAGATTAGAATATTTGTCACTATGGGAGAAATTAGGAAAGGAAACACAAGTTTTGTAAAACAATAATATACATAGTGCAAAAGCAGCCTTACCAATGAAGTTAGATCTATAAATATGAGTATCATACATATAGATATAAACCACTGTCATTGAGTTCATTCTGACTCATAGAAAATATATGTGATATATGTGTGATGTGTATACATCGTATATGTCTGTATGCCTGTGATATATATCTGTGTAATATATATACATATGTCTGTGACTATATATTTTTGTATTATACATATTTGTGTGTCTACACACACACATATTTACAATTTTTGGAGTAATCCAAATAAAGGCATCCTACCTGAGACATAGTTTTAATGGTCCTAATATTCCACACTCTTTAATTTTAAAGATATTCTTCATAGCATACTAATGTGAATGAATATATTTTTGTTCATTATTATTTCTATCAGCTTATTTCTATCTTTTATTGTTCCACAATATTTTTCATATATTTAATCAATATTTATTTTTCTAAGTTAATTTTGGGCTCTAATTTAAAGGAGACATGGTCATGAAGTTTGCTTCAATTTTAAAAATTTAATACTAT